TCTGCCAAATATAATGAACTAGATGGCACTCAGCTTTTGGTGCTCAAAGCGCCAAGAGAAGAAAAATTTGGAAAAACGCAACAGCAGTGTCTCTTTCTAGAAATCATGACCTGGTTACTCAAGATAATCCACAGACCTTGTTGTGAGCAGCTTCATGTAGGAACTATTTTCTTTCTACAGAGCTACACCCGGTAACTATTCACCACACATCAGGAAGTGTGCATCTACTTGTGTACGAGAGGCTTGTGCTCTTGATAGCGCAAGATGTAAATATTAATAGCGTCCTCTTTGGCTGGACTGTCACGTGAGCTGGCAGTAGATGCATGGTTTCTTCTCTGAGATGGTGCAGTTGGTGGGTGTAGTTTGGTAGACAGAAAATGATTCCCAAGTGAAACTGCTCACAACAAGGTCTGTGGATTATCTTGACTCACTGGGTCATGATTTCTGGAAAGAGGCAGTGCAGTTGAGTTTTTCAAAGGTTTTTTTTTTTTGGCACTTTGAGCACCAAAAGCTGAGTGCCATCGAGCTACATTATATTCAAGAGAAGGCAGACAACTCTATGGCTGCATCTCCAACACTCTGCAACTAACACCAAAATAATTGAGACTGATTAATAGCACAACAGGTAAGAGGGAAAATCTGCCTTTTTGATTTTTGGATGAACTGTCTCCTAAGACCCAAAACTATAATTCTGCTTTGTCACCCATCACTGAGAGTTAGCCTGCCAGGCTAATGCATCATATCTACTTGCGACACATGACGTGTATCGAAAAGGATGGATTATCCACCAAATTAAGCAACTTGCTCCAGGGTACCAAAAGCCCCAGGTTCATTTTGTGTTACTTTTTTTTTTTGGCCTGAGCTCAAAGTTTTAGGCAGCAAAAGTTCCAGAACTCTGTATTTTGTTGGGCCTGTTGGGTAAGCTGTGCACTCCACCTTTTAGTGACACCTACATATTTGCCTTTGTGTTGCCCTTTCATTGTGCTCTTCATGAACAGGGTGTCAACTAAGGCATACAGTGACTCTTGTGGTTGTGACAGAAATTCATCATCATTGATCCATTTCTGCACCGTCAACTGCAAGCACAAATACTTCTTCATTCAGGCATTTGTTTACCTGTCTTTCAGCACATACAGCAGTAAATAATTTCAGAGTGGCTCATATGTCATTTCTGATAAAAGATGGACACAAATTGCTCCACCACTCGGTGTACAGTAAAGAAACGCTGATTCTGTGGACAGGATATTCATGAAGTGGTTGAGTTTAAGGTCAAGGTTTGTTTTTACTGACGCTTTAACTGTCTCACCCACTCTGTCCTGTGCTCTGCTGCCGTGGTAACCAAGCGCTTCTCAGTGCGCTCTGCTTTGAGTTACTATGGGTGCAGCTGCAACCCTTGGCACTAGAACCACTTGTTTGGAGGTGATTCAGTCTTTGAAAAGGCAGATCACAACATGAGTTTTAGTGCTCTCTTATCTGTTATATCCTCGTCAGTGAGTCAGTTTATACACCATCCCAATTATAGACTGGCTTTGTACTGGTTAATCCCCTCCCCCCGTTGTTGATGCATTATGTCCACCTAAATTTCTTTATATAAATGTGAAGGGGACACACACATTCAGTTGCCAGTTCATTAAGCATGTCACTAAAACTTGTTGACATTTAGAGCATTAATATAACAGCAAGCTAGCTCACCTCTGCTGCTTTGCACGGCGCTCTTATTGCAATTACTGCTGATATTGGGAAGCCGTTGTCATGGAAGCGTAGCGCCCACCCTCCGGTTACCCCCTGGTTAACACTATTAGCTATTAACAGTTATTCTTGTGAGTCACTCGAGGAAAAAAAATCTGGTTCCAGCTTCTTAGACATCAAAATTCTCTGGTTTCATGCGTCATTCTCCAGTGTTTTTCAGGCCAAACCATGAATTAATAGACAACGTACTAGACAGATTAATCAGTAATGCAAATAATTTTAAGTTGCAACCTCGATTGTGTTGCGTTATACAGAGATTTATTTCTAACATGCTGTCTCTCCTCATTGATAAAACAGGGTGGATAAAATATTAACAATACAATCATCTGCTCCACAAATTAATCAACACAAACTACTTTTTTATATTGCTGTTTTTGTTGATTTTAACCCTAAATTTAATCACTCTTTCCATCTTTCTTCAGGATGCTCCTTCAGGAGGAAACAGCACTAGGTTGATCAGATGTGGCTGGACACGGTTGAGAGGAATGAACAGCACTTGATGGACATCAAGTAACACTGCCATGGAGCTGATGCAGCAAGGAGGAAATGGAGAGCGGGAATACAAATCATGTAATATAATAAGTCTCTCTACAGAATATGCACAGAGAAATGCTTAGTGTCGTTGAGATTCCACCAACAGCACATATCCATTGATTCCTTTTGCCTAATAAACTTAGGTTGTGTTTTGGTAAAATAATCTTGCATGTTTGTCATCCAGTTTGTTCTTTTTGCCTCATGAAGGTTCTTAGATGTCATTTGTTCAGTAAGAGACACTTGTCAGCTCAGGACCCCTTAAAAATGTGCTGGTAAAGAGGACTCTCAGTCCATTAAGTGTGCAGATGTGTGGCCTTGGTGTTTAAGCACAAAACATTTATAGGAAGGTGAGTAAGTACTATGAGCCTTTCATTGTCCACCAGTTGCTCAGCACTATGGATTTATGCAAATGTCCTTCTACAACACTAGATCAGTTCTAGGAAAGGAGACACACTGTGGCTGAAATTGCAAATTACATCCACGAAACTGCCCTTAACTACAGCATTACAATGTTAAAGCTGCACTCTGCATAATTGGATGATGATGGATGTGTGTTACAGCTGGCAATAAATCCAAACACTAAATACGTAGCCAGAGGCCAAGTTAATGCCACAGTGAAGTCAACATTTTATTTACCACAGACAGTGATGTCATCAGTACCTGCTCCAAAGCCAGTGGTGTTGGTCCAGGGCCCGCTCTCACTCTGAGTGAGTGTCAATTCAGGGAAAGTCATTGCTGGCTCTGCTTCTGTTTCCTGATGCTTGTAGGACACAGAACACAGTGATGTGACACTAAATGTCATCATTACAAATGGCTGTGAATTTACATGTGCTTGCAAGCTTCCTGTGAAAATGATAGTGTGAGATGAATTCTTGTGAAGTTGCAGAAACAATCGCACTAGCTTGGTTGGAAATAAATCAGCTGAAATCATTTGTGTCCTGCAGTTTACTCAAAGCTTTGGTTGGCTTGTGGGCCAGTTGCACAGTCTGTGCGTGACTGCGTTGAATTGTACAGTGAATAAAGAAATTAATTCAGCAGAGGGAGTGAATGATAATTCCTGTTGCTATGGTGACATTTTTCTTATGTCTTGCTTGTATATTGGACACAGCTTACAAATAAATGATGATAAATAATGATGCTGTTGTGCCTTCTGGTTACTAAGTGACTAATAAAAGATGAACATGCCATATAGTCATTCATTTCATCACACGTTTTACCACTGCCTTTTTAAACAACACAATTTACTCCATAGTTCTCACTCACACTTTAATCTGAACATGGCCTAACGGATTAAAACAACATAATTATATCGACACCTCTATAATGATTTGTTTTTACAGCAGGGGATCTGAAAAGTTAAGATTTAATTCAGTTTCCTGATGAAAAAAAAGCCTTAGAAGTTATTAAAAACTCTTCAATCTTCTAAATTATTTTCTCATTTGCTGTAGACAGTAATGTTAGTCATAAAATGCTTTTTAAATTCGATAGGCTGTCTGGAGATGTTACAAACTAGAAGTGTTGTGACAGACCTTGAGCAAAAACTCATTGCTGCCAGCGACAACAGCTAGGCAGCTCATCGCCTCATACTGGGCAAATGAAGATTTTTGCGAAAACTAGAGTGCATTCATCATTTTTAATTGGTTCATCAATTTCCTTCATTTTTGCAGCTTATCTGGATACATGTCACACCAATTTAATTAATTATATCATTAGGAAGTATTGATTTACACTGTTGGGAGGTACTGAAAAAAATGTGATATGATAATAAATAATTCCAGGCCTTAAGGTCCCTACTGGTTTATCATCACACCAGCCAGCGTGACTGTGAAACAGGTAATAAATTGTATTTTATGTGCTATTAAAGGTCCTTATCCAGTTTATTTTTCAAACAGATTCTATCTCATGAAGGACAGGATTAGGACTGACACCTGTCCAGTGAGGGGAGCAAAAGGGGAACCTTTTCTCAGGCCCACATACACATGTTCAATTTAATATAAGCAATGATAAGCATATTTAATGTTGAACCAAAATATTCACCATCACTTATTGAAACAACAAAACACTGTATTTACTGTTGCGTTGGTAAAATGTAGCCTGTTTTATAATGAAAATAATCTCTCCTGAAATAATAACAGTCATTTGTTTTTAGTACACAACCATGGCAAAAGTGCGGGCGGCCAGCCACATGGCCTGAGATATTTACTTACCTAAACTACGAGGGAGAGAGCATGCATATGTGTTGATATGAGTAAAGGAGATTTGATGAAGGCCCATTCACTGAACCTTCTCAAGGGCCCGACATCCCTGATTACAGGCAGCGCTACTGAGGAGCTCTCCTCACAATATCAGAGCTCAGACAGCAGACTATCCAGGCTACAGTGGTGGGAATAATGAGTCAATACTAAGCTGAGTATTTTTCCTTTTCAAAATGAGGTGACAACAGATAATGGCAGCAATCGAAACAGCTTGTTATCTAAGTGAACAGAACTACTTCACATCAAGGCTGCAGATGCACAGATTTCATACTAAGCCAGAGCATTTTCTTTTAGGTATGCATGAGACTTTAAATACACTCCAAGGCTCACTGTGTTTATGTCTTTGTATGCTTGTATTTAACACACCTTGAGGGATGAGAGCAATTCCTTGGCATCCATCAGAGTAAGCTCAAACCCAAGCAGAGGGCCAGTTAGGGCCAGGGCGGCACAGAGCAGTGGAATGTCGGCAGGTAGAGCTGGACACCTGGAGCAGCTGCCACAGAGATGGGACTGACCCCACAAAGAGGCTGAAAGAGAGACATGAGACTCACTGGAGAGCAGCTGACCCCTCCTGAGAGTACACAAAATACACTTTGTACAGTGAAACCCTTCATAGCCCAGGATTATAAAAAGCTATTTAATGTTTGTAATTGATGTTGTGATCACAGTGTGTTGATACTTTCAGTACTGACTGTAAAATGTGAAGTTGTAGGTAGGGGGTGCTACAGTGCAGTGTCTCAGGGTGCAGCCTCCCTGTAGCTTTGCTTGTAGGGTGAGTGAAACTGATCGACACACATTAAGAGCAATAGGAAGACAAACGATCCATATTGGTAAGATTGCTGGGTATTCTGTACCTCACAATATATGATGTCTGTGTCTGTGAGGAGACAAGCAGTGACTGGTGTTTGTGTTTTTCCAGGTATTTCCAGTTGGTGTTGGGAATGAAGTCGTGCAAGGTCGTTTGGTCGAGGAGTCAGTCTTTAGAGATGAAAGGATAGGGGTAGTGAAGGGCTCAACTTTTAGGCTGAAGACACATGACACACTCCCATAGACACACATTTAACCAAAACCACAATCTGTCCTTTTATCCAAAAATTAGCTGTTCTTACTTAGCCTGGAATAGACCATCCCTGTCCAAAGATACTCTAGGGCTGCCCTGAAACACCTGATTAAACACCCATCTGCTCTGAGCAATACATTTGGTTTGTTGTATGCTCTCCTGTTTGTGTGGTACTTACGCACAGTGCATTCCCCATCTGAATGGATACGGAGAGGCGGACATAGCAGGAAGGACATGCAGGGGAGTACGGTCACCAAGGGATGTGTTTGTGGGGTCAACTAGCACTGCTAAAACTCTTTGTCCTGGACACCGATAGATGAAAGCTGAAGTCATCCGTGCCAGGTCATCTCTGAGTGGGAGGCAGAGAGGAGGACGGGACAAGGGGATCGATAGCGAAGGGCAGAGAAATCATTCTGAGACATGGCCAGATGAGTTTTTATAGTATTGATCTGAGCGGTTTGCATTCTCATCCCAGCTTTAAATCCGGCAAAGCAAAAGTTGTAGAATGAAAAAGTGATATGAAAGACAATTGGGGAGAAAGACAGAATGAAAAAGAAGCAGAAACTGTGTAGAGATTACAAAAGTGTACAGGAGAGGGTGGGGGGCAATGAAGTGTGTGTGTGTGTGTGTGTTGTGAGTGTGGAGCTATTGCACAAGGTTGTCACAGAAGGGCACCCTACGACAAAAGGGAAGACAGGTTGACTTGGCCCTCCAACGCTGCATAGGGATGAAAACCCTGAATAGATGCACAAACCACACTGGAGAGACCTACAGTTCAACACACACACTCTCGCACAAACCCTCGCACACACACACACACACACACACACACACACACACACACACACACACACACACACAGCATTTTGTTTGTTTGAGTTTCTCCTTCGCAAAGGACAGAGTCATTACACATAATTAGCATCCAGTGCACAATTAACTGACCTGAACACTGATGAGCAGGGTCTGGCTGACCCCACGTCTCCATGGCAACGACCTCCAGCAGAGCAAGAGGCAGTGTCTGGGCCAGTTGTCAGAATCCCCCGGGGGTGCACAGTGACAAGCCGTGTCCTGTCACATACTGACACAGAGCGCGGCGCACAGGGCAGATGGCATCTCTGGTACACAAGACAACAACACACAGTGGTTGTAAAAAACAGACTCTTGATTTCTGTGTAAAAGTTACCCCCCACCCCCCACCCCCACCCACCCCCACCCCCCTGTTGTTTAAAGTACATCCAATGGTAAAGGTGAGAGGTGAGTGTCAGTGACCCCTTAGCAGATGCCTGCTGACATGTAATTCTCCATCTCGTAACTCTATCGCCTATATGCCACACTAATACACACACATACGCATTATTCCACATTTTAGCTCTGTGGTGTATTTGTTTCTATATTGCTGTTTCTCTGTGTACACACTGCCAGTAACTAATTGCCCCTAGTGGGATTAATAAAGTTGTTTTGAATTTGAACATACATACATACACACGCACACACTGACACACGCACATGGAATCTACTGGTATTTAATTTTTAGATTAAAAACAACATTATAAAAATGATTAATGCCAAAAACCAGGTGGCAACTGGATAGTAAAAACACCATTTGCAGCATGCTCACTTTAATTGCTTATTGTATCAGTAATGACTTTGATGACTGGTTGATCTGTTGCGAAATCAGCAGGCAAACTCAGGCATTATCTCCCCATTTTTCCCCACTTCCAATTATCCTGAACTGTCTTGGCTACATGAAAGGATCCTGTTTACCGTAAACTGTGGCAAACAGGAATCTTTCTGCTGCACAAAATAACAGTGAAAAACAATTTAGACTACACTCACATTGTGTTACACAGAGAGAGAGACTAACGAACAAAAGAGACAACAAAAGAGAGACATTTTAGTTGGATAGGTTTGACGTCTTCTCTGTCTAGGTAACAGGAGGTAAATATGATGAAATAGGAGTGTAAGTGTATGTCCCTCGTGAGTTACATCAGGGTGGTTGTAAAGGTTTAGTGTGCGTCTGCTTTGCTGCATAACTTCCATCTCACAGAGGCAGAGTAGTGGCCCCCGAGCTCTACAGTCATAAAGCTGATAAATGAGTAAACATATGCTATGCACACATACTGCATGCATGCACACACACACACACACACACACACACACACACCAGCTTGCATGCACGCACACAGAAACAGACAGGCACACATGCACACTCTACACAGACCTCCGCAGGAGTGAGGGTCACTGTGATGGATGCTATCCCTGAATGGCCGCGAGTATTAAAAGCCCGGCGACCTGGTAGAGACAATCAGTCATGTCAGTTGGTCACAGCTTGAAATTAATCATTCCTGTGTCTGTGATCATTTCCTGCATTAATTATTCTGACCATGTAGCTTAAATAGTCTGCGCGCTGTGAGCGTGTCTGCCAGCGCCATGTGTGAAAGAACATTTAGGGAGATGAAGAGGAGTTTGAGGAGTCACTGAGAATGCAGGGGAGGTTGTTAAACTGCACCCCCCTCCGGTCAAACCCTGCTAACTGCAGCTCTACATTCTGCCTACATGACACTGTGGAGAAAGCAGAGGAGAGAGCTACACAAGGAGGCTGAGGATGGACATAAGAATAAATAATTTATAGTGCGGCTCATTTCGGTGGTAAAAGTACCAAAATATTTGTTCAGATCATTATGCAAAGCGGTGAATAGCGCGATCGAGGGAAATGAGTTGGAAGGAGAAAAACAGGGTGGCAGAGAGAAGATGTAAACACAGGCTGCTCCAACCTGAGAATGTTTGAGCACACTTCTTTGTGTTGGCTAACTGCAGTCTAGCTCCTAATGGATGAGACAGATAATGTGTTAGGGCTGCTGTCAATAGTTTGCATGGGAGAGAGGCTCAGAAAATGTAAATATATAATCACTAGCCAGATGACACTCAGTTATTTTGCTTAGCCAAGTTGTTACTGAGTGTGTTTGCACAGGCAGCGAATGGATTATTTTCCCCTGTCAGAAAAGTTCTGCAGTCAGAAAAATGCATTTGATGAGTATACTCATACATATTTCAACTGGTAGTTTACACACACAAAAAAAAATACATTTTGTATTTGAGCAATAATTCATAAAGGATGTGTTTCAAAAGGACATAGACAGGGCTTGCAGAAATGTGAAAATGATGAATCTAAATGCCCGTGCTGCTGTATGCTATATACAAAACTTCCATTTAGCTCCTTTCATTTACCCATCCATCCATTCATTGTATTCGTCCATTGTCTATTCCCATTCACTCCTACCCAGGGTCACAGCAACCTAGGATCTAATCTGTGCATGCATTTGGTGGAAGACAGGGAACACACAAAAACACTCACGACAATAGGCAATTTACAGTCTCCCGTCCACCTGACCTACATTCCTGTGGAAAGTGAGAGGTGCACCACAGCAGCAAATAGACACAGACACAAACTCTACACAGAAATGCAGAAAAAAGAAACACAATTCTTGTCTATGCAACACAAATAACCTAATTTGTTATACGTGATAATATCAAGCTATAGAATTGTTGATAAAAATAGTAAAGCAATACAACATTATTTGTAACCTACAATCCAGAAACATCACTGTTATCACTGATGGCACTTCAGTGGTTCTATAATTTTTTCCACATTACATCATGAGCCACAACATCAGTTTGATTTGAATGTCCAATTTGTACAACACTCAAGCCTATTCCTGTTGGAATCACCCAATCAACAGCTTTCTCTGAACTCATTAAAAGGAAAGAGTCAGTGTGAAGGACACGCTGATTGCTAATCAACAGTTTCACAAACGCATGCGTGTGTGTGTGTTTTTGTGACTCCCCTTGCTCGGCATCCTTTCTAGTCTGTGTAAGGAAACTCCCCTCTGGTACAGACACAGACGGTTGCTATGGAAACCCACATCACTTTTCAGGCAAGTAGCTGGGCAGGGATGGAAGGAGGTAGAGAAAGGGGGGGTGATAGTACAAGGTTCAAATGAATAAGAAATTCTAGTGTAATCCTGTGTGTGTGTGTGTGTGTGTGTGTGTGTGTGTGTGTGCAAGACTAGGCATCTGTCTTTGAGTGCACAAGTGTGATAAGCAGAATAAGGTATAGCTCTTGCGGCAGGGAGGCAAGACAGAACAGAGCAGAAGAAATAAAACTAAATGAAGAAACTTGCTGTGCTTGTGGGATACTGGGACTCAGGGCACGGCTTGGGCTGGATGGAGGAGGAGAAAGAGGAGGGGGGGAAGACAAAGAAGCAGGATAGCTACAGCTCACTTTCAGCCTCCTCCCCTCCTTTGATGGCTGCCGCTGGACACACACAGATAATTTAAAAATGCTCCCAGAGTGCTGATGTCAAGAGATAACTGTCGAGTAAGGCTATGATGCTAAAAATATCTCATTTGACTTGAACCAGAGTCCCACCTGGATGCTGAGAGTCAGACGAGCAGCACTGTTGGCATGGTGCTGACCGTTTCTAGACTCTAATTGGCTGACTGTCTCCGCCTTCGGCTTGTCTACATCCTCCTCCAAGAGGGCAGAGGCCACAACTTGAGCCCTGCTTCATAAACAATGAGGCATGACACTCTGACAGAGGGCAGCGCCTCAGACACAGAAACCTAGAACGAAAGAGAGAGAAAAAGAAAGAGTGAATTGGTAATTAAACGTGTGAGTGGCACCGGGCCCCGGATGTGAGCATAATATGCAGAGGAGTAACAGGTAACCGAGTTATGTCAGCACAAGTGGCAACAGCAGAAGTCCTGTGAGGGGAGGAAGCAGAGCACAACTCCCCTGTGGCATCATTAAAAACCCCAACGTCTATCCCTTCATCCCGATTCAACTGAACAGCCTGAAAAATAGATCAATTAACAACCTCTGCTCTCTTACTCCTTCTCTCTCACACACATACAGGCACGTTGCCCGGCACGCAGCCTGAGGGGAGTGTGGGCGGCCTGAGTTGCCATGGAGCTCATATTGTACCGGTCCATTTCTGTGGTGATGGTGACAGGGGTTTGTCCTGGACCTACTGCTTCTACCTGCACAGCAACCTGAACCATGATCAACAAGGTTTACAAACATTTACGCATACTGAGTAGGCATGTGATAAAAAAGGACACTGAACTTACTCTCGTACAGCGGCCAGCTCCCTGGGGACCATATGAATAGCACTTAACCAACTGTATATTTTTTTTCCAGCAATGATGATCCCCTTTCATTAAACTGCCAGGCTGGAAATATTATGCACAGTCTGCTTTACTGCATTACTCCTGTTTGGGCGCAAGCCAAACTTCTTGGGTCCTGGCATAAAAATGACATAAAACATTTATCGATTTCAAAAAAATTAAAGGACTGTAGAACAGTGAGGGTGTGGTTAGATTCTAATGCCCAGGAAGCTGACTGCACACTAACTTAAAGCTTGAATGGATCAGGTAGACATTTAAGAGCCTGTAATCTGATCTGTTTTGCCAACCGACAGTGCACACATTAATATCTTTATCCAGTATCGCTAATGGAATGTCAACATTACTTCCATGATTGTGTATGTGTTAGAGTACACACACCATTTATCCCTACTTAGAATACAATTATAACACCAGGAGGCCAAATGCTGACATGGAGAGGTTCATCAGAAAGCAGTCTGTGGCCTCTGAGTTGTTACAAAAAGAAAAGAGAGTTGGTGCTGACTGAGAAAAGAGGCCTGACAATGGATGTGGAGAAGAGCCAATGTCCCGCCGAAAAAGGAACTGGCACATTACCTAAACTCAACAAAGACGTGGACAGACGAGAGAAGAAAAGAAAGATATATAACTAAAAGGAAGTGGAAAAAATAACAGGCTATGTTCAAAATCACATACTATCATACTATACACACTAAGTAAGTATGAGATATGAAGCACTATGTAAAATTAAGTTTGTAGTGCGTTTCAACTGCATAATATGGGCATTTTGTGTACATGAGAAATGCCCGAATGTATATTAGATTAGCAAGTATTTCTGAGTATACAGCATGAGCTTAC